GAAGCAGCAGGAAAGCTGAGCCCAAACGGAAACTCAACTCCTAAAGAATTTGGCCTCTACTGGCCAGCTTCTGTCTGCCTGCCAGGCATGCTCTGGCTCAGCTTGTATTTCACTCTTTATCTTTTAAGAGGCTTTGTTAGTAGCCAAAAAAGCCATTCTTTGTGTGCTGAGGACAGGTCATCTCTGTAAATTATTTAGTATGATGAAGTTACAAGGTATTACCTGAAGAATTCTGAGAAAGAAATTCATGCGGGTGCTTTCAAGAGCTCCCCACTGGCAAAACTTTCACCAACTCCAATTCTCAGCCTTTTTACCCCCAACAGGGGTAGGATCTGGGCTCAGCTTCTGAGAGAGAAGCAGGACCTAGCAGAACCTCGCCTCTGCCTGACTCCCATTTTCTGTCACTAACCTGTTTCCCTTCTCATTGATTTTATCTGTGGTCCCAAAAGGCTTATGGAAAGCCTGCAGCATCACATGTGGGGGGAAGAAATGTCTGAGGTGCACATTGCCCAGCGGCTGCGACCCAGCATTGTAAGCCATCGCAGCCTGACAGAGAGCTGTGATGGAAGGGCTTGGGGCTGGGAGAGCGGCTCAAATGCACACTGGCACTAAAGCATCAAATCGCCTCTGGGACAATGCGGTTTGGGGCATTGGCTGTGAACTCTCTAGGGAGCAGCGTTTGGAGCATGGTTCTGGGCTAGGAGCTCAGAATATGGCAGCGCCTGGAGGCTTGATAGCTTCTGCTCCCGACACAGCTCCTGCTCTATGAAGGGTGCTACAGCCCACCTCTGGCCCTGAGAGCACAGACACTACACAGGGCATATGTCCACACTGCTCCTCAAAACTTGCAGCTGGCCCTGGGCTGGGTCCCAGAGCTGAGGCTCCACCACAAACCCAATCGCCTCTTTTACAATTACATAGCTCCTCAGCTCACACCCCACAAGCCTGAGAGTGCACTGGGGGGGTTACAACTGCAGTTCACACATACCCACGGGGCCCCACTGAATGTCCCCTGATGTCATTGAAAGTTCTCCATAGACTTGAATGGGAGATTAATCAAGCCCTCCATTTCTCTGAACTTTAGTTGTTTCCCCTATCAAACAAGAGCAGTAACCTCCGTAGAGTGGTGAGGCCTCTGACTGTGAAGGACAGATGTTTTTAAGACAGCTGATGGAGCAGGAGCTGCTGGAACTCTCCCTGTGCATCTGTGTGACCAGAACCTGGGTTTTGCCAACCTTTTGGAAAGTGACACAGGAGTGAGGTGATTCATTCACTGCCAGAGTACATTCCATCAAAGTACATGTACATTTTCCCAGAGCTGTGCCCTTAACATGCTTTTTTTAAAAATCCTCAGCTAAGCATACAATATGTTAGCTTCGAAGGCTTTGAGACCAGCTAAATCCAAGCCTTTTTCCCCTCCCCAAAGCCAAGTCCAGCTGCTCCCTGAGGACGGCTCCATGTCACATTCTGACCTCCAAGTACCAGATGTTTGGGCTATTAAATTATTGGGGGGATAAAGAGTGGCAAGAATACTTTTGTAATAGGAACGTAAATGTTGCTGTTCTTCTTTCCCCTAAAAGCCGCTAATCTGGTTTTGCTCCAAATTTCATAAAGATCTGATCAAGACCAAGCAGGAAAAATATCAACCCAGATGTCTGTTTCACAGTGTTATGACCAGCTGAAATCAGCAGATTATAATGGGAACAAGTTTTGGACTCTCAGGCACCCAGTGCAGTAACAAAGGAAGACACGATGGCACACATTCTGAATGTCCTGAGTTACCAACTCCAATACGCGGAGTCATTTATAAAATGAAAAGACCTATATGCATTTGAAGTTTAGAGGATTCTTCCAGCCTCCTCTTGCTGCAATTACCTATCTGTTAGGCGCCTTCCCATGCTCTGCTTCCTACTTCCTCAAGCCAGCTGTTTGTTAATATTTAGGTGCTATGTGATCACATTTCCAATATTAGCAGAGAAAATACCAGGTCGGCTGGCTGATAATTGAGAACATACATGATAGACCAGGTTGTCGCGGCCTCCTTTGTAAATGTGGCTCCTGTCTGCAATGATCCTAGGAGTGAAAGTCTGGTGCCTGAGCAGTATGGAAACGTGCTGTGCATAACAGCTTCCAGGAAAAGAACCCTCCTTGGGCTTACCCGTGAATATGTCCCCCTGCAGCATTCATTCGTTCCACTGTGCCGCACCCATATGCCTTGGAAAAGCCTGGGCCTCATTGCAGTGTGTCATACCTCACAGAACGGAGCCGCAAGAGCTGCATGGCTTTCATTGCCGTAGTGCACCAAAGCCACAAAGAAATGATCCGATTATGATGTCACAGAGAGAGCTCTGGCCAAGCCAGCTGAACTCATCCAAGCATTCAGAGAGTGCATAGAAGAAAAACCCTCTGCTCCCAGGCAGTTCCACTGAAGGCAATTTGTAATCTAAACAGCCCCCTTGCAAACCAGGCTTTACAGGGCCCCATTCTGAGATGCAGAGGGTGGTGCGGGAGGTGGGTACTTAGTTGCTGCCTAGACATTTAAACTGCATTTCCCCCAGCATGCTGCGTAGGCACCTAGCAAGGATCTCCTCAGGCAGACTCCCAGGGTCACAGTCAGATGCACTGTGTTTGCTCTGAATCTGGTGAGAGAACACATGTCCCACCTTGGACAACACCTGGGCCAGTCCCCAGGAGCCAGCACAGGCACACAACACCCCCACACCCGTGTAGCCGAGGCAGTGGGATTAGTAGGCAGCGGAGCTGACAGCAGAGCCTGGACCCCTGCCATACTACAGATCACGTCTCCATGGCCACAGCCCCTGGTTCTGCTCTAGTTGCCCCAGAGGCCCATGCAATGGATGTTAAGGGCTGCAGTTGCTGTTCTGGTCCATTGTGCGGCCTAGCTGCTGAGCAAGGAGGCTGTGCAGCTCTGCCTTATGTAGGGATGAATTTCACCTTCCTCCCCAAATGGGGCTGAATGCTGGAGGGCAGGCAGACAAAGAGGCCCGCACCCTTTGAGAGCAGGGTAGCAGCAAGATCTCCTTGCTAAAGGCCAGGCCCAGATACTCACAGAGCCTGTGGTTTTACAAAATATCCTCTGCTTGTTCTGGCTCCCAGGCTGCCAGCCCTGGGCTGGGACCTGCCATGGCAAGCTGGCTGAGGCTTTGGAGTGGAGCTGGAGCATGGCCCCTGCCAGCCTGGTGCCACAGTGCCTTGGGGGCTGTGAAAGGCCCCTGCCCTGGCACAGAATGAAGAGATCCTGACCAGCTCCACCCCCCACAGGCTGTTATGCTGCTCCTCCCTAGAGCTTATCCTCTCCAGGCCCTCTACCCTGTTCTCTGCCCCCTGCAGAGAACCAGTGAGTCCCAGCGCAGCCACTGCAGGCAACAGGGCGATCTAAGGGGCCACAGCCCAAAGGAGGGCAGCACAGAGCGAGGGCAGGAGAAACCCCACAAACTGAGCATGGCCGGAGCCGGAACCCAGCCTGGGCTGTGAGCAGCTCCAAAGACACCAAACGCCAACCCAAGGTGACCAGGTGTCTGGGTTTCGACCAAAACACCTGGCCTGGCCGTTCACTGTGCAGTTGGGACAGACAGGCTCCCTGTTGGTTTGCGTTGCATGCGTGGCATGTTCTCCCTCTGGCTCCTATGCATAGAGGCAGTGCGGGGGCTCCAAACACTGCCGGGGCCCTAAGCGCTGCTCCCATAAGCTGGGAATGGCAGCCAATGGGAGCTGCAGGGGCAGCACATGCAGACGGATCAGCACATAGACCTGACTGCCAGAGGAGGCACATTATACCACTTGTGGGATCTCCTTGGGGTATGCACTGCCTGTAGCCAGCATCCCTGAGCCTACCTCATGCCCCCTGCCTCAGCCCTAATCCCCCCTCCCACCATCTGAACCCCTCAGTCTAAGCCCTCTCCTGCACCCCAAAGCTCTCATCCCCAGCCCCACCACAGAGCCGCACCCCCCGTCAGGGCCCTCAGCCCTCCCACAACCCAGTCTCCCTAGTCAGCCTGGAGGAAATGAGCAAGTGAGTGAGTATGCGAAAGCAAGCTATGAAAGGAGGGATGAAGTGAGTAGGGTCAGAGACCTGGAGAAGGAGCAGATCATGGCCAAAGCCTGGTAGGAAAGGGGCCAGGGGCATAAGAACATAAGAACGGCCAGACTGGGTCAGACCAAAGGTCCATCCAGCCCAGTTTCCTGTCTGCCGTCAGTGGCCAATAACATGCCCCAGAAGGAGAGAACACAACAGGTAAACCTCATGTGATCTTTCCCCTGTCACCCATTTCAAGAGAAACAGATGCTACGGACACCATACCTTCCCATCCTGGCTAATAACCACTGATGGACGTAACTTCCATGAATCTATCTAGCTCTTTTCTGAACCCTGTTAAAGTTCTAGCCTCCACCACATCATCTGGCAAGGAGTTCCACAGGTTGACTGTGAGCTGAGTGAAGAAAAACTTCCTTTTGTTTGTTTTAAACCTGCTGCCCATTAATTTCATTTGGTGACCTCTAGTTCTTATATTGTGGGAATAAGTCAATAACTTTTCCTTATTCCCTTTTTCCATACCAGTCACGATTTTATAGACCTCTATCATATCCCCCCTTAGTTTCCTTTTTTCTAAACTGAAAAGTCCAAATCTTTTTAATCTCTTTTCATATGGAACCTGTTCCAAACCCCTAATCATTGTTGTTGCCCTCTTCCAACCCTTTTCCAATGCCAATATATCTTTTTTGAGATGAAGCAACCACATCTGTATGAAGTATTCAAGATGTGGGTGTACTATGGATTTATATAATAGAATCATAGAATACTAGGACCGGAAGGGACCTCGAGAGCCATCGAGTCCAATCCCCTGCCCCCATGGCAGGACCAAATACTGTCTAGACCATCCCTGATAGACATTTATCTAACCTACTCTTAAATATCTCCAGATATGGAGATTCCACAACCTCCCTGGGCAATCTATTCCAGTGTTTGACCACCCTGACAGTTAGGAACTTTTTCCTAATGTCCAACCTAAACCTCCCTTGCTGCAGTTTAAGCCCATTGCTTCTTGTTCTATCCTCAGAGGCCAAGATGAACA